CCCGCCTCCCCACCCCCACCCCCCGCCCAGCACGCTGCACCTGCTACCTGACCGGAAACGGAGCTGCGGGAAGCGGGGTCATGCAGACTTAAAGGGGAAAAGCCGCAAAGCCCCGGCCCGCTTCCCCTACGCCTCATCCACGTTTGCACGCGAGTGTGGGCAGAGGCAGCCATGTGGGGCCCTGGGAGACAGGCCGAGCCTCGGCCCCATTCCCGCACCCCCGGCACCTGCAGACCTGCGGGCAGCCAGGCGCGCCTGCGCCCCCTCTGCCCCCCGCCCTCTGCCCTCTGCCCCCTGCCCTCTGCCCCGCAGAACAAGAGGGGGAGCTGCAAAGCCCTGACCACTCCACACTCAACACACACACACGCAGCCCCGGCCCTCCACAGGGCCTGGGGGCCCGGTTCTTCACTTTGGGGTGGGACCATAGTGCTGCGTGCCTGGTCTCTACCCTCCAGGTTCAATAGCACGGCCCCCTCACACACCCCCCACGGCCCCCAGCTGTGACCACCAAACATGCCCGGATGTCCCCGAGGAGGAGGGTACACACCCAGTCACCCTAGCTGGCAGCCAAAGTCAAGTGATTCCAAAAGGGTCCGAGGGGCGGGCTTTTTTTTTTTTTTTTTAAGGAAAAGCAGTTTGGATGGTTCGTGGGGGCCACGGGCAGCCTGGAGTCTGGCTCCATGACTGAAGGGTGGTACCAAAAGGCCATGGTTTCCAGAGCTTGCTGTGTGACCCTGGAAAAGTCGCTTCACCTCTCAGAGTCATATGTCTCCTCTGTTAAAACTGCAATTGTACCAGAGTCTGCTCCACACAGTCCTGGATGGTCACAGGTCAAAATGCGGCTGTGATCAGATCTAACGTCAACCCAAACACCCACGGAGGGATAAGTGGGTTTCTGTTTATGGTGATGAAAATGTTCTAGAATTAGTGATGGTACTTGGTGCCGCTGAATTCCACACATTCAGGTGGATCAAATGGTCAGTTGTGTTGTGTGCATTCTGACATGGTGATACCCCGCTGGCGGTGCCTGGGCCCGGCCGCCCCTCTGGAAGCTGGCTTCCTTCTTAGATCCCACGCCCTTGGCCCCTGCTCGCTGTGCTTCTCAGGGATCCCGAGCTATCCAGGGTTCCTGTCCCCGGACATGGCCCTGGGCAGGTCCCCCATTCCTCAGCCTGGAGGCAAAGCCAGCGGGTCCACGAAGCCCCTGGAAGAGGAAGGAGGCAGGGCAGCCCCAGGGTCTGTCTGAAGCAACTTCTACCACCTATGGCTGCTGATTCGGGAGACAGGCCAGGGCCTGGGGGAGGGCCAGGCCTACTCCCACCCCTCCCCCTCAGTCCTGCCCAGCTCTGCAAGAGTGTGGGGATTCCGGAAGTTTCCTCGCTCAGCCCTGGGCTTGGCAGTCTGGCTGGGACGTGTGCGGATGTCTGCAGCCCAGCTCCTGCCTAAGCTCTGCGGTGGCCTGGCAGCGTGCTCCCCCCCCCCCCTCCTGGCGCATCAGAACGTGGCTCAGGGGCAGGAGGAGGGCTTCTCATATTTTCTCCGCTTTGAAAGTGCAGGCGTTCTTGGCTACCCCGCCTGACTTGGCACGGTGCGTGCAGCACACACGCTCCAGCGAGACGCCCCAGCTCGGGGACACTCACTCCACAAGCCAACGCCAGGAGCCCCGCCCCTACTCCCCCCCAACCCCCACCCCCAGAAGAAAACCTGTCACAATCTCCCTGCTGCCTTCAGACAGGAAAAGAATAAGGATGCCGGGCACCGTCAGCTCACGCCTGTCATCCTAGATGCTCAGGAAGCTGAGATCTGAGGGTCACGGTTCAAAGCCAGCCTGGGCAGGAAAGTCCGTGAGACTTTTATCTCCAATGAATCACCAGAAAACCCAAAGTGGCGCTGTGGCTCAAGTGGTAGAGGCGCTCGCCTCGAGCTGAAGAGCTGAGGGACAGCGCCCAGGCTGTGAGTTCAAGCCCCATGACCAACAAGAACAAAAACCAACAAAAGTGGGCTGTCTGTGCAGTGCGCACCTGTAATCCCAGTACCTGGGATACTGAGGCAGCAGAGCCACACCTCGGTGGGGCTGAGAGGAGAGGGAGAAAGGGCCTCACACAACCTGCTTCCTTTTAAGTTTACAACCCTGATAATACTGCTTCATACATGTTCAAGACCCATGATCAACCAAAAAGGAAGAAGAAAGAAGAAGAGGAGGAGGAGGAGGAGGAAGAGGAAGAAGAGGAGGAAGAAGGAAGAAAAAGGAAAAGGAGCTCACACCTATAATCCTAGTTACTCAGGAGGCTGAGATCTAAGGATCTAGAATTCAAAGCCAACAGAGAAATCCAAGAGACTCTCATCTCCAAGTAACCAACAAAAGAGCAGGCAGTGGGACTGTGGCTCAAGTGGTAAAGCACCAGCCTTAAGAAAACAAAAGCCGGAAGTGGCGCTGTGGCTCAAGTGGTAGAGTGCTAGCCTTGAGCTGAAGAGCTGAGGGACAGCGCCCAGGTCCAGAGTTCAGGGCCCACGACCGGACCCAAAAAAAAAAAAGAAAAGAAAAGAAAACAAAAGCAACTAAGCAAAGTTCAAGCCCCAATACACACACACACACACACACCTATGCGTTAACAACAACAAAAAATACCAGTAACCCAAATAAAAAGAATGGGCAAATTACTTGAGCAGACCCCTCACCAAAGAAGAAAAACAGCCACAAGCCTGGATGCTGAGCCACCAGAGCCACGCACAGGAGCTCCACAAGGAGACTCCTTTCCCTCCCTAGGGTGGTCGGGCTTGGAAGGACAGACAGACAGCTCAAGAGGCCAGGACCCTGCTTTCTTGAGCAGTGTGTAGAGGACAGGAGAGGGCCCCCCCTCGCCCCACATTCCCCGTCATCTGCCTCTCCACAGGCTCCCTGGGCAGACAGCGGTCACCTTCCACAGCTCAGCCACGTGTGGGAAGGAACCACTGAGTCACAGCCTGCACTGGCAGCATGTGCCGTGTGCAGTCCCCGGCTGGGAAGGTCCAGAGCTCCAAACCCCGAGAACCACAGGGGCAGCGGCCGCGGGGCAGACCCCAGGGGACCAGCAGGAAGGACAGACTTCCTCCGCATGGCTCTGAATGGCGGCTGCAGATGGCTGGGGCTCCCGCCACACCCACCAGATCTACAGCCTTAATTACACCCCAGTGAAAAGGTGTGTGGCAGAGGGAGGGAGGGGAGGCGGGAGGTGGTGACTGAGAAGAGGGGAGGAAATGCATCCCGCACCGCAAGGAACACCCTGAGCTCTGAGAAGACCCGCTGTGAAACTGCTGTAAGATTTGCTTGAAGCACAAGGCGCTGAGAAGCTGGGGGAGGTGGGGAGGAGGGAGTCTACAGGGTTTAGCTGGAGTAAGTCATGGGTAGAAAGCTTCTAGAAGGTTCTCCGGACAGGGTACCCCCCCCCAGGACCTCTCCTTTCTCTAGGAGAGTAAGTAAGAGAATCTCTAGGAAGTAAGAGAATCTTCTTCCTGCCCTGAGCTCTGGGCCCTGCAGACACGGATCACGGGAGGGGTGTGGGCAGGAGCCGTGGCCGCCATCACCCCAGGAGAGCCAGCGCCGCCCCCCTAAGTGGGCTCTCGGGAAGGAAGGATGGCTGGGTAGCTGTCATCCCAGCTACTCAGGAGGCTGAAAATGGAGGATGGCAGTTCAAAGCCAGCCCCAGCAGGAAAGTCCCTGGGACTCTGTGGCTGGAGGGACAGAGTGGCAGCCGGGAGGGGGAAGGGCTCGGGCACAGCACCCAGGTCCTGAGTTCAAGCCCCAGGACTGAGGGATGGGAGGGGAGGCTCGAAGCCAGCACTTCCCAAACTCACTAGCTCCACACCCGGGCTGCCGCCCAGACCAGCGGAACCAGAGTCTCCAGGCATCAGTACACACCCCCACACACACGTGTGTGTGCACATGTCTGGGGGGGCGTGTTCACAGGTGATTCGGGGGTGCGGTCCCAGCTGGTAATACTGCACTAGGGAGTACCCTGCCTGCCGGGCTCCGGCTCCCGTCCACACCTAGGAATGGCCTAGGAAACACACCAGGGACACAGAGCACCCGTGGCCGCTGTGGCTGGGCCGTGTCTTGTCTAATAGAACCTGAGAACTCGTTCTGTGCCCCAAAACGTAACTCAGTTCCCGAGTAAGGATGCAACTCCACGTTCTCATAGTAAACACCTCCTCCCCCGCGGGCCCACGCCGTCATCAGCAGATACTTATTCCACACAAACTGGGTCAGGACGTGTTACTCTCCCGCTGTCAATAAATATTTACTGCCTAGCTCCCTACAGATTATATAGTAAGGCGATCAGCCAATAAATATTTATGGGACTGCCAGGCCCTGGTCTAGGGAAATGGAGCAAACGAGGAAATAAAAAGTAACAGACAATTGGGGGGGGACCGCAAAGATGGGGTTGCTATGGAGACCACGAAGTTTCATAGAACCAGAAGAAACTTGAAAGCTGGAGACTGCTACCTACAGAGGGAAACAGAGCCCTTTACCAAGAAACGCTTGGTTTCCTCCTCTGCCAGAGCAAGGTTAGGTGACTCTCTGGAGAGTGGCCTGGTGGCCATCGGTGAGCTGCAGAGCCTCTGAGTGACAACAGAGGACTTGATGGGGGGGGGGGACTGCTGTGGCCTCACCCCCCCCCCCCCCGCCACAGAGTCGGCTTCCAGAAGGAGAGGCCTTCTCTGCTCCCCATCCTCCTCCACCCAGGCCTGCGCACCAGCCCGAGGCAGTCAAAACCTCAAAGTGGGGTGGGAGGGGAACGCCAAGGGGGCAGGGGTGAGGGCCGGGGAGGGGGTCTATGGAGGAGAGGGGGTAGAGGTTTCTAGAAGGATGTGGGTAACACCTGCCTTCCCTGGCCATCCTAGGTTTCTCTCTCCCAGCTCAGCACAAACTCATCACTGCCGCAGCCCAGCCCCCACCTGGCCTAGACAGAGGCCTGGGTTCACTTCCAAAGGCCACCCAGAGCCCAGCGGCAGCGGCTGCCCACAGCCAGGCTCCCGCCCTCTCTCCTCGCTGGCGTTCAACCCAAGGCCGGGGTTCCTCTGCCCTTCCTGCGGCAGACCACCATGCTGCGCTCCTCCCGCTTCACCTCTGCTGGAGATCACCTCTGATCACTCCCAACGCATGTGTGTGTGTGTGTATGCTGACAATGGAACCCAGGCTCAGTATGTATTCTACCACTTCCAACCAACTGCCATCTTTAATTTAAAAAAAAATTAAATGCCTATAATCAATCCTCAGAGACGTTGAGAGGATCACAGTTCAGGACCAGCCTGGGCAAAAGGTTATTGAGACCCCATCTCAATCAATAAGCCTGGTCACGGCGGTCACCTGTCTTCTCGGTGAATCAGGAGGCAGCTTGCCATCTGGTCTGGCGGAGGCAAAAATGATGGATTCCCTGGGGAGCACAAGGCACTCAGGGCGGGGGGCGGGGCCCGAGATAGAGAGGCCTGGAGTTCAAACCCCAATACCACCAACACAAAGCATGGCTCAGCTTTTCAGATCAGAAGACCCGGCCACCCCACGTCCAGACTCCCACGGGAGCCCGCAGGCCGCAGCCCCTGGGGGCCAGGCGCTGCCCTGTCCAGTCCCGTCTCCACTGCTCCCTGCCGCCATCACCTGCTCTTCTTCCCACCCTGGCCCCACCTCTGCAGGGAATCCCTGTGTCAGCTGGGCATGGAAAATGTCGAATGCAAAGAGGAAAGGCTGGAAGCATACTTGAACATGAAACATGACTGTAACAACATAAAATATCCTTAGAAGACTAAAGACATTACATAAGCACATTTCATGTCTGAAGCCATGTTTGTTTGTTTGTTTGGGGGCCTCGAACTCAGAACCTGGGCGCTGTCTCTGAGCCTGTTTGTACCCAAGGCTAGCGCTCTACCATTTGAGCCACAGTGCCCTTTCTGAGTAGTTTAGAGGAGATAAGAGTCTCATGGACTCTCTGGCTGGCTTTGAACCGCGATCCTCAGATCTCAGCCTCCTGAGTAGCTAGGATGACAGGCGTGAGCCACCAGTGCTCAGCTGATGTTTATTTTTGTCTTTATGTTTTCCCAAATAATTTCCAAACCTGCAAAAAGCCAACAGAGAGGAAGCGGTGTGATGTCTCAACGCCAGGCAGAAGCTCACAGCAAAATATGGCTCAAAAAACCAAACCAAAACGAAATGAACCTACGCCAAAATTCTCCTGAAAAGAGTCCGTGAGGAAGCCGGACTAGGTCTCCTGAAACCTGGCTGAACTGGGGGATGAGGGTGGGGGTGGGTGGAGGAGCAGCTTGTGGTAAATCATGCCGGGGTCTGCAGGGTGCTGACAGCTCCCACCTTACAACCCTAGCTACCCAAGAGGCTGAGATCTGAAGAACTGTGGTTCAAAGCCAGTCCAGGAATGAAAGTGTTCTAAAATGTCATCTTCAAATGAACCAGCAAAAAAGTGGGTTGGAGGCATGGCTCAGGTGGTAGAGCGCCAGCCTTTAGCAAGTAAGACAAGCAAGTGTGAGACCCCGAATTCAAACCCTGGTATGGAAACAACTGGTGACCATTTCTATGTTGCGGGTTAGCCTGGTCCTCAGCAGCGGGCGAGTGAGCATTCGCGTCCCTGTGGACCAACCCCCCCCCCGGCCCCTCCCCTGGCCTGCACCTGACCCTGGGCAGACCCCACCACCACCACCGGGCCGCAGTGGGCGGAGCAGAGGCCCTGGTTCAAATCCCAGCTCTCTGTCTTTGGGGCGGGCCCTGGGGGCTCCACCCCCTCGTGGGTACAAAGCCCTGAAGAGCTTTCTGGAGCTGAGGGGGCCTCAGCGCCCTACCCAGGCTGCGTGCTGGAGCTCGGGATGCCAAGGTCACCGTGATGAAGCAAGGAGACACCGTGTGCCCCCAACTCACCCCCCACCCCCGCATCTACCTTTTCTAGAACCAGAATATTTACGCCTTCCCACTCTGCTAAACCAAGCCCTGGGCTATCCAGTCACCCGTGCTGTTTTTTTATTATTCCCACAGTAAACAGAAGCCGAGCGACGTCCCGCGCGGCCCCCTGGGCCGTGGCCAGCCCCGGGCCCCGCCCCCGGACCCACTCACAGCACTCGATGGGGTTGGACGCGGTCTGCAGCGAGACGATGCGGCCGCTGGCCTCGGGGATGTGCACGCGGAACACCAGACGCACGCGCGTGTTCTTCCTGCCGATGTCCGTCTCCCCCTTCCGCAGCTCGATGTCCGCATTCCGCAGCTTCAGGATGCCCGCACAGTCGATGCTGTGGGCGGGGGGCGGGCCGGGGGTCACACACCACCGTCGCCCACCAAAAACAACTGTCCCTGCCACAAGGACGGGCGACCGGCCAGCCAGGGAGGCCACCGGGGCTGCCACATACCCCTCCCTGCAGGCCCCAGTGCCAGGCGCACACCAAGTGCCCCGTTAAAACCGCTGCAGCGCCCAGAGAAGCTCCCCAGCGCCAGTCAGTTCTCCAGGGAAATCTTCCGTGCTACATTGTCCCATTCTCACAAGTTCCCCCCAAAACGAGCCTGCTGCTCACGCCTGTAATCCTGGCCACTTAGAGGCTGAGATCTGAGGATCTTAGTCTGTGAGACTCTTATCTGCAATTAACCAGCAAAAAGAAATGGAGCTGTGGTTCAAGTGGTACAGCACCAGCCTTGAACAAGAAAGCTCTGGGACAGCATTCAGGCCCAGTTCAAGGCCCAAGACCTACACACACCTACAAACAAGTGCCCCAAACCGAGAGCTGCTGTCACAGTGCCACTGTGGTGGAAAAGAGCAGCCTGGGGTTAGGAGACGCACCCAGTTGTTCAAAGATAAGAGACCCAGCACGTGTGCACTCCGCTCAAAGCAGCCCCGGGACGTGTGGAGAAAGGGCGGGGCGGGCATAATCACACAAAGCGATTGCTGGCTCTGAGCCAGCCCGGCCTCCACGCACCCTTCTGTTTTCCTGACGCTTTCCTGCATTTTCTCAGGAAAGAGTTTTTGGTTTGTTTTTGTTTGTTTTTAACTCCAGCTCATGCCTGCATTGCTCCCCTGCTTCTAGACAAAGCAAGCTCTGCAAGCTTCACCTCCCAGTGCCACACCGGACAGGGTCTACGCTCCGCATCCGTATCAAATCTATGATTCACACACCTACCAATAAGACCTCACGCCAAGTGACGTGCTTCAAAGATTCCTAAGTACTCTCCTTGCTAAGATGCATGGAGACATTCTCACACAGAAGCCGACTCACGACAGCTCTGTCCGCAAGGCTCAGACCCTAGGACCCCAAGCTTGGCTGTGTCCTTCCCCTCTGGGCAGTCCTAACCTGAGCAAGGCCAGTCCCCAGACCTGCCCCTCTCCAGAGCCCTGGCCCCACCCCCAGGGCCCTGGCCCCGCCCTCAGGACCCTGGCCCCACCCCAGGCCCGCCCCCAGGACTTACGTGGCCCTCATGTTGTTCTTGGGCTCCAAGGGGATCTCCAGGACTTTGGTGTTGCCCACGATCTTCTCGTAGCTGGTGGTGGTGACGGTCTTCCCCGTTATCCGGTGCACCTGGTAGAAGGCGTGCGGCTTCAGGATGCGTTCGTCTGCCGTCCCGATGAAGATCTGCAGCCCCAGAGGCTTGGAGTCCATGTAGCCATGCAGCTGAGAGGAGGGGACAGGACGGAATCGTTGGGGTAGCCAGTGCGCTGGCTGTGTTCTGACCACCGAGATCAGAGCAGAGAACCGGCCGCGTGGCTGGGACACACAGCCACTGCAAACAGCTTGGTGGCTCACCGGCACCAGGGACTGTGGGTAACCCGCGGGGATCCTCCCCAATGTGGAATATTAGGTAGCCAGGAAAAAAAAAGACAGATTTGAATTGTACAGAGGGAGAAATAGCCGGAAGTGGCATGTTGCTGGCAACTGAGGGTCAGGGCGTGGAGCCGCACAGTCCCGACAACTGAAAAAGGATCTGGAAGCAGGTGGGAGCCCGGGGAGCGTCAGGGAGAGTCACACACAGCGACGCCCGAAGAGGACACTTGGGGGAGAAACACAGGGCACAATGCCCATGCACGCACCTCCGGTCAAATAAAACGACGCATCTGCAAACGAGAGGCTAAATACGCAAGAGTCGACATGACAATACAGCAATTAACCAGGAAAAAGAGCTAGGCCACAGCTCAATCATCTACGGCCGGGCACCGGTGGCTCACGCCTGTCATCCTAGCTACTCAGGAGGCTGAGATCTGAGGATCGAGGTTCAAAGCCAGCCCAGGCAAGAAAGTCCATGAGATTCTTATCTCCAATGAACCACCAGAAAACTGGAAGTGGCGCTGTGGCTCAAGTGGTAGAGCACTTGCCTTGAGCTGAAGAGCTGAGGGACAGCGCCCAGGCCCAGAGTTCAGGCCCCACGACCGACTAAATAAATTAATAATTAAAATAAAAGGTCTGAAAAAAGGGAGGGCAGCCTTGAGCCGGCCAGCGGTCAGCTCACAGAGGACACAGAACAGCAGCACGGAAGGAGCCAGGCGCCCGGGAGCGTGCCGGGCGCCGGGGTGCATGCCGGGCGCCAGGGTGCGTGCCGGGCGCCGGGGAGCCGGGGAGCGTGTGTGCCGCACCAACGGCTTCCTGTCTCCACCTTCGATCCCATCTCGCCACCCCGGGTGGCCCAGATCCTGTTGCCTGGGCCTCCCTCCGTGTTCGCAATGAGGAGCCTCGCCATCCTCCACCTCTCGAGTCGGTGGTGATGAAAACCAGGCGGCCCGCTGGCATGCACACGTACACGCACACGCGCGCACACACACACACACACACACACGCATGCACGCCCACCCCAGAGTCCAAAGCACGCCAGATTTGGTTCCAATGGCCATAGCCACCACAGGAGACCGAGGAAGCCAGCAGGGCCAGCGCTGGGCCTGCGGACGGAGGGGCCGGATCCCTGTGCCCAGCCCGGGGTCTGTGAACACATGAACACACACACACACACACACACACACACGATCGCCCATCCCCCTCCCCCAAGCTTCCTGGGCTCCTCCTCACGTGGGCAGTGGTGGCAGCTCTGTGGCCCCCTGGGGCTGGGGGACTCGGGGCAGCAAATTCCCTCTTGCCCGCCATTGGCCTGTGGCAGAGATAATGCTACAGAGGATCCGTTAGCTCTACACAGAGACCTTCTCACCCAGCTCCAACCCCTCCCTGCAGGTGACAGGATCCAGCACCATCTGACCTGTGTCTACCTTACCAACTCCACTGGGTCCAGCCACCTGGCTTCTGTGCCTTAGAAACAGGCCAGGGGTGCTTCCTACCCCAGGCCCTTTGCATGTGCTCCTCCCACAGCCTACAAGCATTCTTCCACTAGGTCCTTCCCTGACCACTTCCTCCCGATCCCTCAGGTCTCGGCCTAAGTGCGGGGCCTTCTCTGAGTCGCGGCTCCCCAGTGGCTTCCTGTTTGCTTCCTTCCTGACAAGGCTGAGTGTAAGCGCCGCATTATTTGCTTGCGGTCTGTTTCCCTCTCCAAGGCAGGCGGCCTCTTCCTCACCGAGGCCGGCACCATGAATGGTTCCTGGCAGGCAGTAGGGGCTCGGTAAATATTTGCTGGCTAAATAAATGGGTAGACGGAGGGCAGGTTCTCCTCGGCCTTGCGTTTGGAGGCTGACTCATTCCCCACGCCAGAAAGAGAGAGACAGACAGACAGAGAGGACAGAGAGGAGGAAGCGGCGGCAGTGTGCAGTCGGCGGCATTCCCTGCGATGTGAGGTGGCGGCAGGAATGCGCATGCCCGGGCAGGGGACATGCCGGGGCCTGGACAAATGAATTTTACAGCCCTGAGTCTGAGTCAAAAGGACAGTGACTTGGCAGCCTCTTGGGGACCATGAGGAAAAGTGAGACACAGACGAAGCGCCACTGGCCTCTGGATACTGGCCGGGATGGGGAGACATGGGGGGTACGGGGGGGGGCGTGGGACGGTCCCCAGGGGCTTGGCACACGGGCTGACCCAGCCAGCCGGGAAACGGCAGCTGCTCAGGCCGCGCCCCTCCGGAGGCCGGCACATCTGGACACATCTGGACAAGGCCCAGGCTCCGGCCTCTGGCCTTTCAGGCCACCCACACCTGGAAGGGGCTGGGGGGTGGGGGCAGGACTGAGCCCCCTCCCCCAGAGCCGCCCGAGAGCTCGGCCATGGCGGCCCCATGAACCCCTTCCCAGCCCCCTCTGGGATCCTAAGATCCAACTTCTCGGGTTTGGGCCCTAACTTAACACCCCACCATGGCCTCCACATACATGAAGAACTTAGCTCAAACCCGCAGCCGGCCCAGCCCTGCCTCGCAGGACTCCATCCCCTCTCTCGGTGGCTGTCTTCTGTCTGCTACTTTCCTTGTCTATACCCAGTCAGCTCCCTCTGCCTCAGGACCTTTGCGCGTGCATGGCTGCCGACCCACTAGGCTCCTTCCTGAAAACCTCATTGCTCCAGATGCCTGCAGTGCTGGTCTGGGCCTCTGGGCCTCCTCTCCCCCACCAGGCCTCTGTCCCCCCCCAAGCGTAGCCCTCAGCAGAGGCACAGGGCACAGACTCCCCTCGCCCATGAAGACCGGTGCACCAGCCCCAGGCCACACGATGTGGCTCGGGCTGTGGCCGCTCTGCGTGTGAGCAGCCTGAGGAGGACCTGGAGGTCTGTGGAACGGGAGTCACAAGCGACCTGCCACTCCCCCTCCCCGGCTCCCTGGGATGGGTGTGGGCCACAGAAGCCCCCCCCCCACTCCCCACCGGCCTTTCCCCTTCCGAGCAGCACCCTGACACCGGCGGCATCTGGACCCCCTTGCCCTGCATTCCGCCAAGGAGCCGTGGCAGAGCTGCAGGGAGTTGGGGGGGGGGGTGAGACGCTCGCCCAGCGGGGCAGAGGCCCCCCCCTCCGTCTCCCTTGCTCAAATCCCACTGCCTGAGATGCAGGTGTGCTGGCTGGAGCTCCAGCAACGGCTCGTGCCCTGAGGTCCCCAGAGCCTCGGCGTCGCGTCGGTGCTACCGAGGCCCCTGGGGAGGGCATCAGGCAGAGGCGAGGGTGGAGCGGCTCAGAGACGCGGGCTGGCTCCCGGCTGCACACAGGCTTCTGTGGGTGCTGAAGGACCGTGCCCGAGGGGCGGGGAAGCGGGGAGAAGCTGCCGCAGTCTGACTCTCCCCAGGGGGTGACGATGGAACTTGCTAGAAATAAAATCTCCGCTCACCGTCTGTCTGGCTTCCGAATGGCTTTTTCCTGGTGCCAAGGCGCCAGGCCTGGCAGCCGTGGAGAGGCCGCCGCGGCGGCGGCGGCTGGTGGAGCGGGCAGCGTCTGTGCGGCCGGCGTGGGGGGAGGGGAGCTGGTGGTGAGGCCCCTCGGGGGCCGGGGACCCACGTGAACCCCCCCCCAGGCCGAAGCCTGCTCAGGCTGGGCCGCATCCGGGCACCTGGGCAGCTCGGCCCCAGGTGCTGGCGACAGAGCCCGGCCCTGGCCTTTGCATACACCGGACCAGAGAGGTCAAGGAGGCTGCCTGGGGTGCCCAGCACAACGGGAAAGCCAGCCAGGCCGCCCGATGCAGGGGTCGTCCCGACTTCCTGCCAGGGAGGCCCAGGCAGACCTGGGACCCCAGGCAGGGGCAGCCCACGCTGGGAGCCCCACACACGCCAGGGTGTCGGCCAGGGGATGGTGTGAGACTGGAGGCCGGCTGCCACGGGCTGTGCACAGCACGACCAGCCCCATCCGGCCTGCTCCAGCCCAGCTGTGGCTCAAGGGGTAGAGCACCACACAGCTCCTAGATGGTGCCCGGGCCCTGGGTTTGAGCCCCGGGAACGCTCCTCCCCTCCCTGGGAAAGCACTGCACACTGAGCCCCAAACACATGCAGCTCCCCTGGCCCCCCGAGCTGCCCGGCCCCCCCCAAGCTGCCCGCCCCCCCCAGCTGCCCGGCCCCCCCAGCTGCCTGGACCCCAGGAGGAAAGGGGGTGAGGTCAAAGGGCACGGGGCGGGGAGAGGGGCGGGGAGAGGGAGGTGGGAAGGCGGGCAGCTTCTTCCCCCTCTCCCTCCCTGTTGTCCTCTATCTGCCCCAGAGTGGGGGGAGGGGGAGGGAGGGCTTGGCAGGGGGGCTAAGGAGCAGGTGGACAGCTGGGGCAAAGGCTGAGGAACTGTGTTCCTACCGCAGATGTTTGGGGGGTGTTCCCACTCTTTTACACAACTCGGGGGGCCACTGCCTGCTGACCTCCTCTGTGCAGCCGACAGGAGGCCCCTCCCCCTCCTCTTCTTCCCCTCCCCCTCCCCCCTCCTGTCAGCGGTGGAGGGAGGGACACTGGCCTGGCCCATGGCTCCAGCTCGGTTTCCCGGTCTTAGGTCATGGCAAACCCCCTGGGAAACCTAAAAACCACACTGGCTGTCAGCACTGAACTCTGCGCTGCTGCCGCGGCCTTTGTTCTGAGGCCAGGCCCACCTTCAAGCAAGCTCCGGCCCCAGGGCCTCTGCCCCAAGATACGGGCACTCAGAACTCTCCCCAACTCGCACCCCTTTGGGAAGTTCTCCTCAGAACAGCTCCCTGTCACCCACATAGCCCTCTGCCACCCGTGGTCACCTCCGCCCCTCCTGCGCCCCTCCTGCTGCGTGTTCTGTTTTGTGTTTTAACCACACAGCAGAATGCAGAGCTGGATGCTATCTGAAAACCACAGGAGAGTGTGTTCTGCCCAGCCCATCTCTATCTCTGGACAAGATCGTGAACACTTGGGGCCCCCAGGGCCTTGGGGTGTCTAGGGCAGGGGCTTGGAAGAGCCCAACACCCACACAAACTGCCTGAGAGCCATACACATGGCTGCCTCAGGAAGCAGCCATGAGACCTGAATCCTGCCATCGCAGCACACTCCCAAGGTCATCCCTGGACGGAATCAAGCAGCTCAGCTTCTTAGCATACTCTAGCTGACGCTACTGACGCACACCTGTAATCCTAGCTATGGAGGAGGCTGAATCCTGGAGGACGGCCATGGGGAGCCAGCCCCGGCAGGAAAAAAAATCCCCAAGACACTGTATCTCCAGTGAGCCAGCACAAAGGTGGCCTGGAGGCATGGCTGATGGGGTTGAGCACCAGCTGTGAGCAAGCCGGGCGAGCGTGCGCAAGCCCAGCGAGCGTGCGGCTCTGAGTTCTAGCAACAGCCACAAAAGAAGGGGGGGCGACCCCAGAGCCTCTTGGAAACAGGTCTGGGAGGCAGTAAACACAAGCTGGACCCCCGGGCTCGACTGTGTGACCTCACACAGTCACCTAACTTCTCTGGGCCTCCCAGGACCGGGGACCTGGCCCAGCACGTGGCCTTCACCAGCCCCGCCCCTTGCTGTCATCAGGATGACCCCGAAGAATGCAGAGGTCAAGGGGCAAGCAGGTCACCCCGGAAGGGACCCAGTGATGCCCACCATGGCCCCCGTCACAGACGGGGGCCCGCTGAGGCCCTCTGACCCACCAGCTGTAGGAACGCCGGCTCTCCCACATTCTGGAAGCTTCCGGCACACGGCCAACATGCGACGGGAGCGGCCCCTGCTGCTCATCTCTCTCCTTGGCTCGGGTGTTTGGAGACGGGGTTCTCATACGAACCCGGGCCTGGGACTCGGCCTCCTCCCGCCATGCTGGGACTACAGGCTGACCCTGCCACACTGAGTGACACCTGGACAGGAGGAGAAACAGCCCCAGACACCGCCATAGACACCGCCATAGACACAGCCCTAGACACAGCCCTAGACGCAGACAGACACAGCCCCAGACACAGCCAGACACAGCCCCAGACACAGACAGACACAGCCCTAGACACAGACAGACACAGACAGACACAGCCCCAGACACAGCCCCAGACACAGCCCTAGACGCAGCCAGACACAGCCCAGCCCCGGCCCCAGTCCCCAGGGTGTCTGGGCCACGCCCTCTCTCTTCACTAGGACCCTTTATGGGTCCCCCCTCCACGGGGTTGAGTTTTCCTATCCCCGGATGCAGCATGGTCTGGCCCCCCTAGACGCTCGGAAGGGCCACTGCGTGCCGGCTTTGGCCGTGGGCCTCACACAAGGTGGAGTCTCGGTGAAGATCTCCACTCTAGCCACGAGCGAGCCTTCCACCCCCAGCCGCCCCCAGGCCCCCCACTTCATCCCTTCCCACCCCCGAGGCCCTGCAGGCCTCCTCCAGCCCCCCTACTTCATCCCTCCCCACCCCTGAGGCCCCGCAGGCCTCCTCCAGCCCCCCACTTCATCCCTCCCCGCCCCCTGAGGCCCCGCGCATCCCCATCCGCGCAAACGGGTGCCAGCAAAGTCCTGCCCTAGCCATGGCTCCTGGGGTGCAGGGGCCACCAGGGCTGAGGGACGCGGGGCACGGGGCGCAGTCCTACAGCCCCGGCGGCTGAACCTCAGCGGAGGGGCATGGGCTGCACATACATCATTCAGGTTCCAGTGAAGGAGTGAATCTGGGGGTGTCATGAACACTGTGAGCTGAGCACCAAGCCCCTATCATGGAGCAAATCCACTTCAGGGCAAACAAATAGTGACATTCATTTAAATCTGCCCTGCCGAACATTCTGGGTAACAGGGGAGGCACCCCGTTAATCGTACCCGACAATCAATTTGTGCGTGTGTGTATGTTGGTCATGGGTCTTGAACTTTGGGCCTGGGTGCTGTCCCTCAGCTCTTCAGCTCAAGGCTAGCGCTCTACCACCTGAGCCACAGTGCCACTTCCAGTTTTCTGGTGGTTCATGGGAGATAAGAATCTCAGGGACTGTCTTGCCTGGCTGGCTTTGAACCGAGATCCTCAGATCTCAGCCTCCTGAGTAGCTAGGATGACAGTTGTGAGCCACCACTCATGGCTGACAATCCATGTTTCTACTGTAATTATTTAGAGGTTTTCATCTGCTTATTTGGGGGGAAATTTTTCAAGTTAGATAGAAATCCATAGACATAAAAAGGACATTGATTAGGAGTAGAAAACAGAAAGAAACACTCCTGAGCCTGCAGCTGAAACTGAGTGCCAAGGCCATGCTCCATATAGCGTCGCGTATTTAAATATGGAGGAGCGGAGAGCAAGTGGATAAAACAGCAGGACGGCGGGCGACGCTCTCTCACACGTGCACGGGCCCACCAACCCTCTAAGAACACCAAGAGCAAACTCCCTGCGTCCCAGCTGTGAAAGCCCCGCGGCGAACGCCCGGCACCAAGGGAAGAAGGCCCCGCGTGCAGCCCTGAAGCGTGGGGTGGGCCTGGGCACGGGCCCCGGCGGCCCAGTCCATACCTGAACCACGGGGTGGCCCCCGGTGGGAGCCTTCACGGCACCTCGGCTGCCCTCAGTCTCGTAGTGGGCGCGGTGGTGGGGCTTGGGCTGCACCTCGATCCGCAGCTCGTAGGAGCCCGCCTGGCTGGACAGCGGCCACTCCAGCGGCGGGAGGGAGGCCGTCACCGGGATGCTGGAGGGAGACGGGAGGTCAGTGGAGGGTGCACAACCACCCCTCCACTACACCAAACGTAAATGGCCCCTTTTCTGCATATCATGGCTGGTGATGGAGGACCGAATGCTGGGTTGCTGGGCAGACACCTGAGCGTCTTTTTTTTCAATCGTATTTGGTTTAATTTTGGATCCACAATGTAATTCTTTAAACCATAATGTTTTTACTTATGTTTCACCTACACTGTTATTCCAAAACCTTTTTGGTTTCTGTGTATGTGGTGCTGTGGAATCGAACCTGGGCCTCACGCATGCTAGGCAAGCGCTCTACCGCTGAGCAACCTTCCCAGCCCCCACTCGCGTGATCTCTTCCATCCTGACAAAGACGGGACATGGGAAGCTAACGCCACTCCAGGCCAGCTCTAGCGTGTTTCTAGCCGCCGTGGATACTCGGGAAATGGTGACAAGCTATACCTCCTACCTCCCTCTCAAGAAAACCTGCTCTGGGCACCGGTGCTCACTCCTGTAATCCTAGCTACTGGGGAGATCTGAGGATGCACTCAGAGGCCAGCAGGAGAGTGCATGACCCTCTGGTCTCCAATTAACTGCCAGGAAAAGGAGGGAAGTGGAGCTGATGCAGTAAAAGGCTAGGCAAGAGCGTGAGGCCCCGAGTTCAAGCCCAGGACTAGCCTGCGCACGCACAAGGAAAATGAAAGTGCTCTATTTCCTGTAATGCAGTATGTATCCTATGCACATGTGTGTACCACATGCAGATCTTTCTTGTAGTGGTTTTTCAGCCAGATGTAGTTAAGCACTTAGGAAGATTTGGTTAAGCACTTGTGAAGACTTGGTTAAGCACTTGCAAAGACTCGATGGAGCAGGTAGGAAGGGGCCACTTCCGCCCCCTCCTATCCTGATGCAGGGGAAGAGGCAGAGGTGGGGAGCCCCTCCCCACCCCATCAGTGCCAGGACCCAGCTTCCAACTACAGCCTCGCCTGCGAGAAAACCTCGAGCCCACCTGCCTGCCACTGCCTCCCAAGCCGCCCTCAGACTCCATCTCCACCTCAGTGGTAGCCCAGGAGTCTCCTAAGCTGCTGCGTGCGGCCAGTGAGCCGTGTGTGTGGGGGGGGGGGGGGATTCTATTCCTTCTATCATTTGTGCATGTTGGAAACTGTGCTAAATTCAAAGTTTGCAATATAAAGCCAAGCGACCCTGTCTGCACATCACAGCACATTGAGCAGAATCAAAGCCTTGCCAGACATCGGTGGCTCTGCCTATCATCCCAGCCACTCAAGAGGCTGAGATCTGAGGATTGCGGTTCAAAGCCAGCCCAGGCAGGAATGTTTGTGAGACTCTCATCTCCAGTAAACCACCAGAAAACCAGAAGTGGTGCTGTGGCTCAAGTGGTAGAGTGCTTGCCTTGAGTGAAAAAGGTCAGGGACAGTGCCCGGGTCCTGAGTTCAAGGCCCACGACCAACAAAAAGTAAAATAAAAATATAAAAGACTCAAAGCCTTCCGGTGAGCAGAGGCCTGGCTGAGATGGCCGAGCACCAGGTGAAGGTCTCAGCTGTCTGCAGTAGGGGTGGGGTATGGAGATGCGGTCCCTTGGAGGAGCACACCCCAAGGCTGCCCACGCCCTGTGTCTGAGCCACCCACAGCTTCCTGGTGGCCTATGTGTTAGCATGACCCCCTCCCCAAAGTCACTGTGTCCGTGGTCTCTCACTGGGGGACCCAGAGAGCAACCAATCAGAACGGAGAGGAGACTCGAGAGGTGTGGGCGCTGCCCTTCCTTCCCAAGGCCCTCTCTGGTCCGAAAGCCCAGATGGCAGGTGTGCACAGCCACACCCGGCCGGGAGAGGCTCACGGACTTCTCACCCAGGCTGGCCTCCAACCCGGATCCTCTGGGTCAAGCGGCAGGGATGGGAGGCGTGCACCCCGTGCCCGGCCCCGGCCTGGACGGCCCGCGGACCGGCCCACTCACCTGCAGATGGGGATGGCGGGCACCAGCTGCTTGGGCCAGGCGGGGGGCACCAGCAGGATGGACTCGGGGGGCGGGTTCCCCCGCTCCTCCTGCTC